TTCATGTCTCTTCTACATCAACATGTGTCTCCTCTTCTTCATGTCTTTTCTACATCAACATGTGGGACGTCCCCTCTGTGTAAAGAGACTCTGAAAGTTTGAGGAAAAAAGATTCGCTCTCTTTTTGGCCTGATCCATTTATATAAAAACCTGTCTGAAATGAGCTGATCAGATTTTGGCCACTTTATGATGTCATAACAACCCCCCCCCCCCCCCCCTCACCCACATCGAATCCTGTGTGACTGCAATAAAATCCTGGATGCAACACAACTTCCTCAAACTCAACAGCAATACAACTGAACTCCTCCTCATCGGCTCCAAATCCACCCTCAGCAAAACCCCCAACCTGACAGTCACCATTGATGGCACCCCTGTTTCCCCCTCCACCCAGGCACGCAACCTTGGCGTTATATTTGACCCCACCCTCTCCCTCGAGCCCCACATCCGTCAAGTTGTAAAAACCTCATTTTTCCACCTCTGCAATATTGCCAAACTCCGTCCCTCTCTCACCCGCCCTGCAGCTGAGCGACTCATTCACGCCTTCATCTCCTCCCGCCTTGACTATTGCAACTCACTCCTCTACGGCATCAGCACTACATCCCTCAATAGACTCCAGCGTGTCCAGAACGCAGCCGCCAGACTCCTCACCCACACCAAATCATGGCATTATTATTTTTATTATTAGAAATGTTATTCATTGGGATAAACCCCTTGAGATGCACCATCTCGTTTTCAAGGGGGTCCCGACAATAGCAACAATTTACAGACATACATAAACAAAAAGACAAAATACAAAACATGACACACAAGACAAACCACATACAGTCTGTTAAGTGAAATTCAAGCAATGCACACAATCATTACAATTTGAGACAGTCAAGCAAATCAGTTTCATCAATATCAGTTAAAGGTGGGGTAGGTAAGTTTGAGAAACCGGCTCGAGATCGATATAATTTGAAAATAGAGAACCGGAGAAAATCTTCCACTTCCTTACAGAGCCCCTCCTCCAACACAGATCAGGCAGGTAGGCCATCCAGTTATTTTAGTCGGGCCGGCTAAAATGATTGGTCGTGCTTTTTACAGTACTACGGCTTCCACAGATGACGTTTTTTTATGGATTTTTGTCAAAGCACTTCAGATATTCATTGCTATCTGGATGTTAAGAGCATTCCATGGAATATAACAAAAAGTGTATCTCGAGCCGGTTTCTCAAACTTACCTACCCCACCTTTAATAACAAGTACAGACCAGTTGAAAGTGAGATAACAATGCATGTTTAAATATACCCAATGATGCAAGAGATCTAATAGCAGCAGCATCACATCACCCCGGTCCTCAAAGAACTTCACTGGCTCCCCGTTTCACACCGCATCCATTACAAACTCCTGGTCCTCACTTTCAAAGCCCTCCACCATCTGCCCCCCCCCCCCCCCCCTACCTCCCCCCCCCCCCCTACCTCACTGACCTCCTCATCCTCTACCAACCACCCCGGTCCCTCAGATCCACCTCAGCCGGTTTGCTTTCCATCCCCAAGGCCAAACTCCGGAGCTTCGGGAACAGAGCCTTCTCTGTGGCAGCCCCGAAGCTCTGGAACTCCCTCCCCCAAGACCTCCATGAGTCTGAGTCCCTCACCCTGTTCCAGTCCCGCCTCAAAACCCACCTCTTCAACTCTGTATCCATAAGCCCCACCCCCTCTCAACCAACTTCCTCCTGACTGCTTTTCTGTTTTGTTTTGTTTCTTTGTTTCTTTTTGGCTTTGTTCTTGTTTTGTTTGTCTACCCTCCCTCCCAAATGTAAAGCGTCTTTGGGTTCAAGAAAAGCGCTATAGAAATAAAATGTATTATTCATATTTATAACGATTTGTTGGCTTGTGTAACCATTAGCCAATCAGCAACCAAGGGAACCCCCACCCACACCTACCTTATCACCTGAATCTCCTCCTAGAGCACCATTGTGTTCTTTGTAACCAAATGTCTCTCAGAGGGGCGTGGGGAGGGGCTCCTTATTCTCATCTAAAGTAACAGACAGAGAATTAGCCCTTTTTGAAACAGGGCAGAAACAGAGGGGATTATGGGTAATGCTGCAATGATGGTGTTTCGAGCCAAACACTTCAGAGACATGATTTGTATATAACTGAGAACTATAATATATTGATGAAAAACAGTATAATAGGGGACCTTTAAAATGAATATTGTGTTTATTTAGTTCCATCAAGTATTTGTCAGTGCAGGCAGCTGGTGAAAACATGCTCCATGCAAAGTGTTTTAATTATCTCTAGAACACACTCCTGCTACTGATCTTCCTCTCTGACCCTCTCTGTGTTGTCCCTGCAGTAATGTGATGAAGTTGGGCTTCAGCAAGCCCTGGCCCGAGGCGATGAGCATGATCACCGGCCAGCCAAAAATGAGTGCCCAGCCTCTCATGGAGTATTTCGAACCGCTCATTAAATGGCTGGACGCAGAGAACAACAAGAACCAAGATATTCGCGGGTGGCCCGAGTACGACTGGAAACCAAAAAGTAAGTCCAAGACGTCCATCCATCCACATGCTTTGACACTTCCACAGAAACGTGAATAAAAGCACAATTATGTAGGCAACTGCTCTGTGTTAATTATGTTTTCCAATCACCAAGCCAAATGATTTTTGAAATCCTTCCCAGAAATAAAAGGCATAATGTTTTCACACAGGGCAATCGTTTTGTTTTTCTCCTTGTCTGTGGCTTGCAGTGAAATCAATATTCTGCTCCTCTTGTTTTACTGATGAGGTCGTGCTGAAAAGATGTGTGCAGATTAGATTGATGAGATTCTAACCAACAAGAGAGCGCAAGGAAAAGATAATGGGAATAAGAAAACAGCTGCAGATCAAAGGAGAGATATACTGAATTCAGATGAATAATTAATTGTTGTGGAAAGAATATAATAAAGATTGTTTCCTCACTCTGTGTATAAAGGGGTGTAAATAAACATGACTTTTTTCATCGTGATGCACAGTACTTTGGAGACATATGTTAGTTTTTAACCTCGTTTTTTATGTCAGTTTCAACAACAGTGTGATCGAAACAAAGCATCAAAATATGTTGAATAAACAAAATATATGTAATGGCCTCAGGAGTCTACAGATTAAAGGTGGGGTAGGTAATTCACTTCAGAAACACTTTTTGTTATATTCCATGGAATGCTCTTAACATCCCGATAGCAATGAATACATTAAATGCGTTGACAATAAATACATAAAAAAATGTCATCAGTGGAAGCCGTGGCGCTGTAAAAAGCACGACCAATGATCTGAGCCGGCCCGGCTAAAGTAACTGGATGGCCTACCTGCCTGTCAGCCTTCCATCTCGTGCACAAATGTATCTCGTGCCCTCATTGGTCATGTGTGTGTGTTGGGGGAGGGGCTCTGTAAGGAAGTCTGAAGGAAGGGGCAGATTTTTTCCGGTTGTGTACTTTCAAATTCTAGCGCAGTCGAGCTGGTTTCTCCATTCTTACCTTTAAGGCATGTTTGATGAGCGCCATCTATAGGGAGGAAGAGAATTATCTGGTGTAATTTCAGTACTACAAGTTTTTTTTAAATGTTTCTTTCAACACACTATAGGCCTACTATGACTTTTTGACAAACTACCATTAGCTTTTTTTTTTAAATGTTTCTTTCAACACACTATACTATGACTTTTTTGACAAACAATACCATTAGCTTTTTATATTTTCAACATACATGCCTGCATACAATGCGATATTATGACTTTCACAATATTTTCGACATAGTCATATAGACTCTAAAAAACAGTTCCTATGCTTTTCCATAATTTGATTTCATTTTCGACACACTATAGCCTACTATGACTTTAATTTAAAATACCATACTATTACCTTTTCAACATACTATACTTTGATCATTTTTACATCATATACTATGACGTTTTCAATATTTATTTATTTCTGATATAGCCTACTGATTTCCATAATTTTCCGACATACTATACATTGGCTCTTTATATAACATATTATCACTCTTTTCTTGTGAATTAGTTATAAACCTTCCTTTCATTGAGATGTATTTGTCCTTTGTGTGTGTGTCCAGCAGGCGAAGTTAAGGTTACGGATAATAAAGTGGGCTTCCTGGGTCTGAGTGTGGACGGTGCCTCTGCTGTGGCCGGCCAGTGGGTCCTGATGGTGCTCAGCGTGGTCCTGTTGGTCGCCACCATCCTATTGGGCTACAAGTACAGGAAGTCAAAAAAGGGATCTGAAAAGTCCTTATCCACAATGGAGCTAAAGCAAAAGGACTAATCATCAGTGGTGGCTAACTGTTGCTAGCACAGTACCAACTCAATGTGAACATCAGTGTTTTTGTGTACCGTACAGTACACTTGATTGAAATTGCTTTTTCTTTTTAGTCGGCCTTCTTATCTAGTCTTGTATATTTGTTGTATACACTTGGAGTGAAATTATTTTTTGCCTATGCAAAAGAACATTACATTTTTGTAATTTATTTGCAATATTTGAATGTTTAGAGAAGAAATGATTTAAATGAATGTGTGTAAAGTCATTGATTGCATTTGTGGAATATTGATTGTTTTTTTGTTGAATCCTTTGCATTTCTACAATAAAGATTAAATATGTATACTGTGTACACTGTACAGTATGTGTTGCTTCAAGATAAAACAGTTTATGATAGTAGCAATGTAACTGCATAGGTTGATAAAACTATTTTATTACATTACAATTGCTGAGTACAAAAGAGATGTGCATTCAAATTACTACATTTTTGACATATACGACTTTTTCCTATACTATGACTTGTTTACATACTATTCTATGCATTTTTTTCAACATACTATATTTTTGACATTTCGATGTTCTCATTGAAGTCATTGATTGTTTCTTTATCTTTTGTGGAATTTTCTGCATTTTTACAATAGAGACATTTAATATTTCTTTGGCGTTCTTTGTTTGAACAAGATCTAATGGAAAACACAATGATGGTAGCAATCCAACTGCAAAGGTTGTTAAAAACAATTTAATTACATTGAAACTGCACAGTAAAAAAATAACACCACAACAGAGAGTAGAGTTCGTGCATCGGTTTCAGCTGTCTGTCTTTACTCTCAGAGTGAATGCAGCCTCTGTAACGGCCGCAGCCTGTGACTCTCAGGTAACGCAACACTCGGTCCCACCAAAGACTGTTCACTATGTTTTCCGGATCCCGTCCGTTTTCAGTGCTGCAGGTTGACCTCAATGGGGGCCACAGTGGCTTGGAAACAATCCAAGTGTCAACTTACTGTCTCATACAAAAATACAAAGCGTAGGGACATTAAACAACAAAGGCCAATGACATGAGCATTCATTCAAATAGTCAATTCACTGTCACCTGTCACTATGTACAATTTAAAATGTAGCTTTCCACGCTTACAGTCTCCAGACATATTATTGAATCCAGTGTCATGACTCCCTGTTTGTGATATTTTTTAAAGATAGGTTCTTTACTGTAATAACACAAGACAGTGTAATAAATAATCAAGTGTGCTCCAATCATCTCATCAACACATGTTGGCTAACTCTACATACAGACATGAAGCTATTGCTTTTCCACTTGTTGCAGGAGTGCTTGTATGAATCTTGACGTGGAATTTAATTAAAACACGGGCTGTAAAATGTATAATTCACAAAGGAGTGCCAATTGTTTCTCCGTACCTCTCAGAATTTATCAGGGAAATACTATTTCTACGTGGCATAAGGACACTTATTGGGGATCATTTCCACATGACTGTAAATACACTGATGAGGACATTCACATAAAGACATTCGTAGCAGAAGGGTCAATATATACTAAGTGCAGTTCTCCTTTAATGACTGATTTTTAAAACCCTCACATAGCCTACGACTGCTGACCACAAAGTGATGCCTGTGGACAGAGCAGGAACAATATCCACTATCACAGAGAACATCAATAGACTCTCTGATGGTGATGTTGGAAATAAGCATGATGAATGATAAGCCACTTTGCTTGGACGACTCAGAAAGAAGAACAATGGAAACATACATGCAAACACCGTAATCAATTTACAATATACTCTTGAATGCAACACCGATTCCAGCGCTGCATTCATAAAAAATACTTAACAAATTACAATGTCTGAAACAAACTGTCCAGTATATTGCACTGAGAAAGTTGATGAAATCTACCAAAAGTAAAAAAATTAAAATGGAATGCAACATCCACGATTGGTCCATGAATGTGGCTTGAACGGGCTAAATGTTCTTTGATTGGCCCGTGTCAAACCTGTATAACTGGGAGAGTTTCAGGGCCCAAAGTAAAGGCCTCAGTAGTAGTAATGCTGCATCTCTGTCCAGTTGGTGATCCAATACTTTTTCTGCGGCTCCTCAAACTGAAATCCCAGATTGAACTGATACCGTTCTGCCTTGCGAATTCTCACCGCTTGGTGCTTTGGCATTATCCGGTAGTAGATGGCTCGCTTGAAGAATCCAAGCTGAAGGGAAAAAGAGAGAAGAAAAGAGGGAAGGTAACATTTAAAAGCATATAGAAAGCAGAAGAGCTTGGAAAATGTTAGGTGGAGAAGGGTTCATCGGAGGAAAAGCAAGTTAAGCAACAGATAAACCCACGCTTAGAAAGAACGGGAAGACAGATGAAGTATGGAAGATAAACTTGTTTTAAAGTGAACGGCAGCGCATTAATAGCCTGAAAGGGAAGTAGAAGCGATGTTAGGTACATACAAAAAGCAGACAAAAGGTTAAAGAGAAAGTTAAGTGGTAAGAGAGTTGAATCACAACCCAAGCTTCATTAACAGTATCCAGAGAAAATCCATTTGTAGGGTTGTCGTTACCCAAAAGCCCCACTGGTGTGTGCTGTTGGGGGACCCATGGGGGGCCTCAGTAGTCCTCGGTCAGCTTCTCTGTCTCAGAGGGCTGGATCTTCATCTCAGCCTTCTGGGCTTTGGCCTCATACATCTCCCTCCTGCTGGCCCTCTGGAAGAAGCCACACTGAGGGTGGAGGAGGAAGAGGAGGAGGAAGAAGATGGTGCATGGGGGGGTAAATGAAAGGTTAGACTAAAGGCACGATATGGAGGCTTTAAATCAGATGAATGGGTCAACAGCTATCAAAAAGGGAAAAAAACGTGTTGAGATTTAGGGCATGTACATCATGTTAAACAGTGTAATCCCTTCAGTAATGATCGGTAGTCTCACCTTCCATAGTATAAGGATGATTATTCCCAGTAGTAGAATTCCTGCTACAGCCGCAGAGATGATGATCCACAGCGGGAGCTCATAGGGCACCTCCACCCCCTCCAGAGGCTGGATTTCTACTGTGAACTACAAGAAAGGTGGAACGATTTAAGTAAAATCATCCTCATCAGCATCATCTTCATTAACGTTACGCACCATGGTGGGCTGTCTGTCCATCCTGATGGTTGGTTTATCTGTAATGAGCTTCAGAGTGGCTTGACCTCTGACTATAATTCTCAGAGCGTTAGAAAAGTCCTGTGTGAGAAACACAACAAACACTCAGTGTGTAAATATAACGAAAAAGGAAGTCTTTCACAATTATATTAAATTATTAATAATGTGTGTACTAGCTGCAGTGCTAACCTCTAGCATTGTGCTGTTCCACAACCGGGACTGGACATAAATCTTGGCTGAGTTGGTCATGTTGCGCAGCGGACAGGAAAACGTTACGCAGCGTGCCGTCCCCTTCGAGCATTCCTGCAACAAACAATGACATCTTTTATGTAACTACATACTATACCAAAACTAACATTACTTATAAGAATAATTGATGACATACAGTACTATGAGGTTTTTTTACATGCCTAACTGTACTATGACTATTTTAACATACATGACTTTTTTTCATTAACATATTAATATGATTTTTTTAAATCCCTTAATTCATCAAAATTCTATACTGTCTTTTCTGCAACTTTTATTTTTAAAATGTTATGACATTTTTACCATTATTTTTTTGTTTCAACATTTCACAATCACTTTTTTAGGATTTTTTTACATACTGTACTATAAACAAAAACATTACGGCACACTATACTATCACTTGTTTATGCTACACTATGATATGTTTTATGGCACACTATTGTAACTACATATACAGCTACAGTATACTATGTACACGATCTTAATAAGGATTTTTAAAATGTGTCTATGATGCATAGGAGCCCTTTATTATGTTGAATGGCACATATACTCCATATAAGACAGACCCATTTCTTACCAACAGGAAGGTCTCTTTGCGAGGAGAGAGAATTGTGATGGCTGCCTGAGGCTCAATAATATATGGCCTTGCCGCATTAACATCATCCACCACGATCTGTCGTTTAATACGCTTTTGTCTGCTTCCTGCCAACTGGAGGACGACAGAGGGAGAAGGAAACATTAAAGAAGGAAGCAGATGAGACAGAGACATGACATCAGAGTACTTGTGGTGGTAATTACTGGTTTTGATAAAGACATTACCAAAGTCTTCTCAGAATAGCACTGTCATTTCTACTGTCTATATCCAGGCAGAACGCGTTATGACTTTCTATTTGTAGCTCGGTGAGGGCTGTAGCCTAAGTGGCGACACAGACGTTGTTTTCTTTTTAAACAAAATGTATTTCTGAACATCCGTGGTTTGGTTCTGAGTCCATTTTCACACCCCTATTTTACCACTGACATTTATTCATAGAGGGCAAGCTGCTTTACTTCACACTGAACTCAGGAGCATTTAGAGCTCATGTAACAAGCCACTTCTTAGCACAATAGGAAGAAAGTTAAAGTACACTTAGACTTACTCAATATCAGCCATCTCATAACAATTCTAACTATTACAATAACCAAAGATATCTGAGCAGTAATATCAACAAAAGTATACTTGAGTAACTCAAGCATTTTTACCTTAGTGTTTTGTTCCATATAGCTAATGAGTTTAGCATGCTAACTTGCTAAATTTTATTTTAGAAAGGACAATGCAGATATACTAAATATCAAAAGGCTATGCCAGTAATCTAAGCTGGCATTAGCATTTAGCTAAAAGTGCTGATAGCATGGATTTATACAGTTTTGTTTTCGGTTCTTGCGCACTTGTTACTAAAGCTAATAATTTGCTATTTATATGTACTGTTGATGAAATAGAAAAGATAAAATGAGAAAATCACAGTGGCGAACCGTCAGGGCCTTCAAGGTATTCAGAGAATACCCTAGAACAGTGGTTCTCAACTGGTCAGGCCTCGGGACCCACTTTTTACTTGGTCAATAAATCGCGACCCAACATTTTGAAGCACTCAAATCTATTCAACAAAAAATCGTGCTGTAATATATACGCTTTTCAGCATACAATATTAATAAAAGTGAAGTACAGTGCATATATCCCTTATATCCCTTCACAGAACTAAAGTATGCTTTTAAAAAAGGTTTAATGAGATGATGGAATCAAAGCTGAACTATATAAAAAGCCACGCATGCTGAAAACCCAACCCCAGCAGGGGGGTCTGGGGGGATTCTCCCCCAGGAGATTTTTAGAAATACTAACATAAACTATGCATTCTGGTACACTGAGAAGAAAATAAATAAATCTATTACTACCCGACATATTAATAATATTTTATGCCATTGTTTGTTTTTCACTTTGTTCTGACATCTTGCCGCGAGAAGAGTAAAGAGGAGATAGTCTGTGTGACTTACTTTCAATTGTGGGTAAGGGTAGATAGCTCCCATTGTTCTGTGACCTGTCAATCATCAGACCCCACCTCTGATGATTGACAGGTCACAGAACAATGGTCATATGGTCATATGTGTTGATTTCTGATGGAACAATGGTCATATTTCATTATGTGTTGATTTCTATCTGAAGTTGTACCCATGGATGTATAAAGAAGAGTTCTACCGCAAAGTTATTCTCCGTGGGGACTTCCGGCAACAATCTTGATTCTGATTGGCCAGAAGACTCGAAAAAACCTCAGCAAAGATATTTTATTGAGAAGATTCTCACTATGTGACAGAAGTTCTCAAAACCGTTTATGGTCTCCGGTACTTCCAGTCCAACGCCGACTGCATGCACAGCGTTAGAAAATCGGGCCTTCAAAATAAAAGTTAGATTTTTTCCCCCAAAAACAAAAAAAATAATTCCATTTTTTTTCCCAATTTTTTTTCTTCACTCACACATCCGCGACCCACTCGAAACGGGTCCGCGACCCACTTTTGGGTCGCGACCCACCAGTTGAGAACCACTGCCCTAGAACACTCAGATAAAACAAACAAAACATCGATTTAATTATATAAATAAAATGTATATAAAATGAATAAATGAGAATGGTATCCGTGTTGTTGATCTGTAATATTACAGTGTTACGTTGATTTGTTTGTCCTTCTCGGACCATGCACTACGCATTTCAGTGGTTTTGTGTTAGAAAAGAAAGCAACCAATCAGATGTTGTTCTGGGTCTCTGGGTAGAATATCCTTCAACCAAGGTATTCTACATCCTTGATAGAATGCCCTGGCCGTTGCACTGAATGAGAGCGTACGTTTGGATTGACAGTTTGATCAACCAATCATATATTGATTTGTAGCCAATGGGCGTGTTCTTCCAGAGTTCCCCTCGGTTCCAGGGTATTCTAGAAGGCCCGCTAGTTAACTGGCTCGAGACAGAGGATCTAGAATGAATGCGACGAAGCAATTCATGCCGTTTTATTGTTTTTAATGTTGAAATGACAAGTGCAACAGGTGAAGATGAAGTTGTTGCGGAATTGTTCTGAGTACCCTTTTCAAGACGACAATTCAGTGAAAAGACGGACATTATAATGCCGCGGAGGGGAGGGGGGGGCGGCGGCGGCGGCGGGGGGTGTGTGTGTCTACAGAAGATCCAGTTGTGATAGACACGGTTCGCCACTAGAAAATCATGACATGTATCGAAGGTTTAATATGAACCAAGGTTGTTTTCATGTGGCTCATTGCTAGTTGAATAACGGTTTACATTCTGCATCTGCAGAGTCCATATTTTTGGTCATAAACAAATCATATGGTTCTTGGGGAAAAGGAGCATATTGTGGCTTTTAAAAATCAAAAAGATAGGATCCTTACAGTTAGATTTAGTAGGTTGACCACTTCTCCAACAGGGTTACATTCCTCCTCCGATTCCCCTTTTACCACAATCTTGGTCAGGTACAGGAGCCACTTGCCGTTGGCTACCTCAAAGGGCCATTCAAACTCCACAGCCAGGGTCCCCATGTCTCCCAGAGGCTGTCCATTCATGTTCACCTGGTGGCAGAAATCAAACAAATGGCGTGAAATAACAGTCAGAGCTTTACAGTGACTTTGCAACCCCTAAATAGTATCCACCCCTGGTCATGCTTACACCCCAAACCACGGCTTACGTAACCCACACAATATTAAACTTCTGAAGGATGAACATTTTGGCTTCAAAGACAGGGTGGAGATGAGGGAAATGTGGGAAGCAGTCATATTATAGATGCAATATAACGTCCTGGAGGTCTAACATGGTCTCAGTGGTGGAGGTGACTCACATTGAAGGTGAACTCCACCAGACTGCCAACGTCACTCATGTTGGCCATGGCTGACTCGCCCATCACCGTCCCACTGAATTGTGTTTGCACCAGTGGGTTTGCTCTGGACAATGGAGAGGTACAAATAATGAAACACAAGAAAAAAATGATGTGGAAAAAAATGTAATGGGACAATTACTACTTCAGGGTGCATGGAATTTCTGTGCTCTTTACTGTATGTCATATTAAGTAATGGGACTCACATGGAAAAGGAGGGGAGAATGGTGTGTTCGATCAGCAGGGCCACAGGCACAGGGGTCAGGTCATTCTGCTCACTAAGACTAAGATCAAAACAACCCTTATTACAACATTGTGTGCAAGTGCAATATTTGTAGTGTCCCTATGCTAAAGACTCTTGCGCCAAAAGCTCAAAACTTTGAATTTGGCACTAAATAAAAAAGATAATACTAAAATATGGATTAAGCAAATATAATCGTGCATCATTCTTGAAAACTTACGTGGACAGAAGCAGCTCAGACATAATCTCTTTTGTGTACAAATTGAATCCTGAGGTCTCAAAGATGATGGCAAGTGTCACCTGATAATGGAAGAAACACAACGAGAGGCTTCAAACTCTGCTTAGCACGGGAAACGAATCAACACTGATAAGATCAAATCATTTTCAAAACATACATTTTCATTGCCTTTAAGTGGATTCCCCAGCTCACACATCACTGTCGCGTCCAAACTGCATTCCACATCGTGATCCTGGATAAACATATTGAGAAAGTGAACAAAAGAGTAGCATAAGATAGGGGAACATACAAAAAGAAAGGCCTGTAACATTGTAATGTACCACATGGCATGTTTAAATGACGTATAAATTGGCATTTCTAAGTCGTCTGCTGCCCTCCAGTAGACGTACCTCCGACCTGACGCCGGCGTAACTCATTGCGTCAGGGATGGAGATGTTGAGCATGGCTTGGTGGGCGTCTTCACCTGGCTTCACCTTAGTATGAATGTTGGTCACATTCACCATCAGAATTATCGTCTTCATATTGCTGTTGAACTGAAGTTTCTGGAATTTGCCATCCCTGGACACAGAGATACATAAACAACATGAATTATGTCTTCACTTGTTTTTTATATGTATTTTTTAATACATATACATTCCTATTTTTAACCACATTCTGCTTGTGACTGTTAGCAAGTAGCAGTGACAGCTAATCCACAGTGTTATGCAGGGTTGCCAACTCTCACGCATCTGGCGTGTGACCCACGCTTTCACTCTCAATCTCACACTCTCACGCTGCGCAAACTATTCTCACGCCAAAAACAAGATGAACCGGCGATCGTTTTTGGTTGGTTATTTACAATGTTGAGTTGACAGCTGCTCAATCTATCGATCCGCCCCCACCACTCTTAAAGGAGACATGTCATGGCCATTTCCACTGATCATAATTCCATTGTTGAGGTCTACTAGAATAGATTTATATTGTGCAATTTTCCAAACTCACATTGGTTTCTCACAGCATCTCTATAAAGTATGTGTATTCACTGAATTTCACTCTCTGCCTTTAACGGCTCGTTGTAGCTCCAATAGCTCCAGCCCCCACCCTCCCTGTGAGCACAGTGTGCTCTGATTGGTCGGGACGTTGTGAATCTCGCTGAGCTCCGTGGAGGTGTCGTTTCCTTGTTTAGCGATACAGAGCGAAACACAGCCAAACTCACCCTGAGCACACACAAACTCACAGCCGAAGTAAAAACAATAAGTGTGGTTTGATATTGAGTAAGAAAAAGGTTGATAAACGCTGTGAGAATGGGTCTGCACTGCAGAGAGAATTTTGCCGCGATCCCAACTGTCTGTTATCAGCCTGCAGCCCGGGAGGAGAAATCAGCAGAGCGTGTGTGTGTGAGGAAGTCCGTGGATTGGTCAATTTGGACCAATCAGCGGGGGCTTAACGTAACGGTTCTGTGGACGTCACGGCTCCACGGATTGGTCGATTTCGTTCCGGGTACGTGTTTACGTAATCTCGTACCCGGAAAAATCCAATGGATGATGACGTTTCACCAACGAGGCGTTTTGGGGAGGTAATTTCTGTGTTAGAGTTTTACTCGCTACAGGGTGTACTTTGAGGGTTTTGACTCTGCAGACCGTTTACATGCATAAAAACCTTCATAAAACACAAGGGGACGGGTAATAACCAGAAAAGCATGACATGTGACCTTTGACAACGTTAACAGACAGCAGAGCAGTGGGAGCCGGTTGGTCAATCCCCGACCCGTATTGCGCATGCGCAGATCTAAGATCCAGTAGAAATGATAAAGAAGTTAAAGTCTGCTGCTTATTGTTCTACTAGAAAAATACAGTCAACGAGTATATGAGCGTGAGAGTGTGTTAATTAATATATTTGGCAGTTTGGAGTAAGTCTGTAGATTTATTTGTGTGTGTGTGTGTGTGTGTGTGTGTGTGTGTGTGTGTGTGTGTGTGTGTGTGGTGTGTGTGTGTGTGTGTGTGTTTCATGTATAGGCCTCTATAATTAATTAAAATTAATTGTGTTGGATACATTTTCCCGGAAATTATTGCGATAAACGATAATATTGTCGGCACCGTTGTATGACCATTTTAGACCACTGACATAATGATAATATATAATAATAATTCAAGTACATCCTTTCAAACAGCTAGTCACATCCTCATGTAAATGGCAATTTATCGAGTTCATTTGTATTTATCGTACGATAAGTCAATTAATTGGCCTATGCACACAATAAAACAGCGGAAACAAACATGTATTTGACTTTCATTAGTGAATGGAACTTTGTGCCCTTTATAGTCTGTGTCCAATATTGTGTATTTGCATATATTGTATATCCTATATATATGCTAAGGTCCCGCTACTGACACGATAGCAGTCATTTAGTGCGCATATGTGAAATTAAACCCATGATATTAAAATCTCACTCCAGCCAGGTACCCAAAGTTGGCAACCCTGTGTTATGCTAAAGATCTGAGAGAAACATTTGTGATTGTTTCACATCAAAGACTGTGTATAAAGAGGAATAAAGACACTACATATAAACATTAATAGAACCGTTTAGGGTACGTATTCTGTCTTGCAGAGAGTTAGATGGGAAGCTCAATACAAGTCTAAATGCTAAATATGAAGCTAGTTCCAGCAGATGGGAGTGTAGCTTAGCATAAAGACTGTAAACAAAGGTAAAAGGAAGCTATTCTGTCTTTGTCCAAACCTTTGTATGGATAAATTAACTATGTATAACATGTTAAATCCTTCTGTTCTGCCTTGAAATTAAGCTAAGCTAATCGCCTGCTAATGCTAACTTTAGGCCTACCCTAAATCATAATAACGGTCTCAATCTTCTAATCTAAGTCAGTCGTGGCAAGAAAGTAAATAAACACATATCCCCAAATGTCCCATTAAACAAAAAGAAGTGTCATTTGTCAAGAAAAACAAGGCTTCATCACTGGGAATTTAATTTTACCTGGGAAAAGGTATTCTATCTTTGTCCCCAAACTGGGCCGTCAGCTGCAGGTTACTGCTGCATTTGTTGTCAGAGCCACACTCCTTCTGGAAATGAATCTGCAGGAAAAACAACAAACAATATTATATCATGCCATACCATTACTATAGTTATTTACAATTAGACCTATGTCAATTGTTGGCTTCTCTGTACCTCAGTTCTTTGAGTGAGTTTCTGCTCCTGGCTGATTATTGGGTATGAGTCCAGGTTCTGCAGGGCACGTCTGGTTTTAGGTTTTTGTTCTTGTAGGGCCAAGCTGAGGGAGAAGATCACCGGGTCCAGTTTGTCCCTCACAGGTGACTGTAGAATCATCCAAGCATTTATATTGGTCAAGATATGTGCATGGGTAACAGCTAACCCTAACCCCCATAGCAGTAAATAACATATGATAATTGAGGCTTTACCACTACGATCAGTTTCAGAGTCAGACACTTCTTTTTGGAAGATGGCAGACTGAGGGTGCCGGTGTATTTGTCATCATTATTGGCTGCAAAGCGAACACGAGAGCTTCTCCTCCTCTCTATATCAGCGTCCACTGTGTAATTCACCGCTTTACAAAGAAACACACACAGTACATTATACCGTTATTACAGCAGTTTAGGAAAAGCCTTAAGCAAGCTCGATTCTCCAGAGTTGGTTACTATTTATATTACACAGAGTTGTTGTTTTTTAGGTTAGAACAAGAGAATCTCAAAATGTCAAAGCACGTCACTGATTTATCATTGACAAATTACACGATTTGTCATTGTACCAAAAATCAGTAATTTCAGTAAAGACTGCTTACTGGTTTCTTTCTTGAAGTCTTTGTTTCCATTGCTTAGAGTGAAAGACAAACACAGTGTCGCTGTGATGCTGTAAAATAAAAAAGCACAAATTAATACATTGAAATCAAATAATCCCGTTTCAGAATTATACGCTCTGAGAAAAAATCCTACCATGGTGTAATTCCAGGACACTGATTTGGGTCCACAAGATATGGCTCCACCGTGAAATTCTTGGTTAGGTGGATGACTGGTCGAGCTCTGAATACAAATATGATATTGAGAATCAAACAGTGCCCAAGTTACAGTAACAGAAAGAGAAATATAATATCTTTGCTCTGCCAAAGTGTCTTTTCATGCAGGTTTAAGGCTTTTTTCAAGTTTTCACTCAACAATAATAACTTATTTCTACCTGAGCAGGGCCACTTTGTCGTCCAGAGAGCCAACTAAAATATCAGGATAGCTGTTTCCATCCATGTCGATACCTCCGTTGATGGAGTAGCCAAAGGTGTTAAATCGTCCAGACCCCACTGACTTACCCTCAATGACCTACAGAGGGCGACAATGACACACGTGAGGTCAACACAATGAATCTGGGCCTTTTTTGTAATATCTGAAGTGCATCCATGACAAAATCTGACATTTACCTGACTGGGCTCCTCTGAGATTCCCTTTTTACTTCCCATCCAAATGTAGACCTTTCCTGTTTCGTGGAATGGAGCTCCCACTGCAAAGTCTGCACACAGAAACAAAGAAGAGATGACATATTGGGGGAAAAACATGCAAAAGCAGTCTGCTCAAATACATTGGGCCTCTAGGTGGAAGCATTGCACTACTTGTGTTATTCAATGTGTTGTTCATTGAAGTAGTCAAAAGTACAACACAACGCATTATCACTTTTCCCTGCTGAGAGAATATCAAAGCAACAGCGCAAAATAATTCGTACATGAGAAACTGACTGCTTTCTTTTTTACTGTACTTTTCAAGGAGAACTGTAAATGCACAACCAAGAACAAAATAATAAAAACACATCATAAAACGGAATTTAACTTCTATCATTCTGTAGTTTTTTTTATCAATGAATCTGGGTGCAAGTACTTAGCCATGTTTTCAACTTTTGAATTAGGTATTCGCTTTAATTTACACAATCCTGTCAGTGTAAAAACAAATGTTGCGTTCAGGGTCATACCTTGGAATCCGTCTTGGTTGATGTCGCCAATGGCAGCCACTGCAAAGCCGAAAGCAGAGGCCGCCGGACCCTTCAGCACCAAGCTGGCTTTCTTTTGGAACAATCCATTCTCATTCATGAAGATATACACTGCTCCTCCCTGATCCTTCATGCGGTCAAAGTAAAACGGTGCGCCCACAATCAGATCATTCCAGCTGTAAAAAGCAAAGAAGATGTCAAAAGAATATACTTTAAAGGTCACCTATTATGCAAAATCCACTTCTTCATGTCTCTTCACATCAACATGTGTCCCCTCTGTGGAAAGAGATTCTGAAAGTTTCAGGAAAAAAGATTCTCTTTGTGTCCTGATCCATTTATATAAAAACCTGAAAATGAGCTGATCAGATGTTGGCCACTTTATGATGTCATAACGAATCGCCAACAATCGCCCCCCCCCCCCACACACATACCGTATCACCTGAATCTCCTCCTAGAGCACCATTGAGTTCTTTTTAACCAAATCTCTCTCAGAGGGGCGTGGGGAGGGGCTCCTTATTTTTCATCTAAAGTAACAGACAGAGAATCAGCACATTGGAAACAGGGCTGAAACAGAGGGGATTATGGGATGCTACAATGATCTGTTTTATATATTGGTATTTCAAGCCAAACCCTTCAAAGACATGTTTGACATGAGACCTATAATATATTGATGAAAAACAGTATAATAGGGGACCTTTAAAATGCAAATGCATAGAAAGAAGAACTATATTCCTTGGATCTCGGATATTTGTTGAAATCTCGCTATGCATTGAGGGGGACACATGATTTCACCATGATGTCATTACAAACACCTTATCTCCGCGGCTGAGAGGACAGGTTTTATTCTCTCATCTCAGCTCATACATACATCAGTGTCATGCCTTCTCTGCATCACAAAGCAGATCATAGCAGAGCACCGGAGCGTGAGGCAGCTCAAAAGCACAAGATCCATTCACACGTGCAAACATAACACTTTTCTTATTCTTAGTCTGTGAATTAAGATTATTAGCAGCTCATGATTAAAATATAGTATTAGGTTGAAAGGTATCTAAACTAAAAGGCTTCCAATTAGTTCCCTGTGGTGATTGTGTCTTAAATGTAAAGAAAATGTTATACTAGATCTAGTCTTTATGTAGGACATGGTTTTGATTTTAATTTTAAAATGTTCTAAAACCAAGGACCTCATGAATAGAAAAACATGTATTTTGATCCCAGCCTTGACTGAACTCCATACAAGAAAGAAGAATCTAAAGAAAGTGTAGATTTGAAATGTTCAGTGCGGTGTGCAGAGACGCACTTGTCATTGTTGAGGTCGGTGACAGCTATGCTGCTCCCAAAGTACGAGCCCACTTGTTCTCCGAGGATGATGAGGCCCGGCTTGATGTCGCTGTCTCTCATTACCCCGAACATCACAGAGCCCTTGGACTCGTCCCTGGGAGACCCTGTCACCACCGTGTATTCGCCCTGGCTCAGCAGCTTCTTCTCCTCAAGAACGGAGTAACCTGCGGAAACAAGCATTGGAGATCAAACCGTCATCTGAGTATGGGAGGGGTTAAAGGCCCTTAAAAGCATGGAGAGAACGTTTAGAGAATAGAGAGCTATTTACCTATATAACTGTGTCGTCTTTTGATGTTACCAAAGTTTTTGGTATTGGTGTCCCAGAAATTGTCTGGTTCAGGAATCCACCACGTTGTCGTTACATGAACATTCCCTTTATAACAAAGCAGAATTAGAAATGTTATGTCTGCCTCATGCACAATGGGCTGCACAGACAGAGAATAATCCCAGGGCTAGACTACCATCAAGAATTTAGCACACAGGCTTTAATCCTTGTCTGTGAAACCAGCCCATTATTTCAGTGATAAGTAACAAAACACCCTCTTTTTAACGTTAACTCTTCAGTGCCCACCTTGCCATTCGTAGCTGCCTGGAGATCCGATGTAGACATCATTTTCGGTGAAGCCCCCTGAGATGCCCATGTTGCACAAGCCCTCCACCTCCATATCGTTGTTGGGGTTGCAGACCTGATAAGTGTTGGTCTGCCATTCATCGTTGGTGTTATAGGTCAGGTCGTTGCTCCGGACGTAGCACTTTCCTATCATCTTCAACTGGTCCTCTGCTCCGCCTTTGATGATCTTCACATAGCGATGCCCGCACGCCTGGACACCAGAGAAGAGTGAGTATTCTGGGATGTTAGGGACTGCTCTGATTTACAATGTAACAAATCTTATAGTGTATCTAATAATGAGGCTGAATCACAGCTAGACTAATTAAAAAACCTACATCTTAGTTCAGTTGTATTGCACATAAAAAATAAAATAAAAAATGATAACAAATAAATAAATAATTTCTGTTTAAATGCAAGTAATGTGTCCTGTGTTTAAGGCAGTGTTTTTGCCGTTGCTGTATGACAAATGTTTATTTTCTTCAGAGAAATGCATAAAATGTCAGCACAATGTTTATATAGAATATTCTTAATATACATATATATTTTTTCTTGGATCACATTTTGTAAAAACTAAATTAGGAATTTGTTTAAAATGAGAAAATATTGCATTTGATAGAAATATTAAAGGCAGACTGTGAGGTAAACTATAATAAAAAAATGTCCAACTGGAAAAGGGTTAATGGTTTATTTACCAATATTAATAGACATGTAAGTGGAAAAAGTAAACACAATTGTATTTCTCCTACAAAATGAGCTAATTTCCTCTATCAATCATCAAAGGCAAACATCCTTCATTAGAATTATATGTGGCTTTTCCACCTATATGTGTCATTCTGTCATGGGTGTGTGTGTGCGTGTGTGTGTGTGTGTGTCATCAGGTTGTTTTATGACACAGTAAATATTGCAACATGCAGACTGTGGCACTGAGATACAGAGATTTTTTTTATTTTAGCGTGTTACCACTCAGAGCTACAGTAAATATGACCATATATAAAAGACACCACCTGTGACACTGACTAACAGAAACAAAAATGGGTGTCATCTCACCAGCACGCGTCCCTTCAACTGGTCTCTCTGACTGGCCACCGTCACCCCCAGCCACATGCCCTCCACCCTCTCTGATGGATCTGCTGTTTACGGGGGACAAGTGGCAATTAGATTAAAACTGTTTGAAAAGAAACAATGAAAATAAAGCATGAAACATCCAGATTATTAAAAAGATTTCTAATGTTAATCCAGTATCATATTTACTCACAAACCAGGATGTATGTTCTGCTGCTGTTACAAAACAATCCTTTGTTGCATCAATGACGTACATCTAATCTAATATACAGTCCAAAGTAAGCCATGTCAAAGTGCCAAATCTTCAACTGAACCAACCCAATAAGGGAAGCTACCTGCAGTCTGCATCATGCCCCGACAAATATTAACCACACAAATGTGCTGTGACTGCAGCAACGCCATGCTCGACATCAGAAGTGATGAGGAATCTCTTTATTATGGTTCTTACTCGTAGCCTCCGGCGGGCCTATTCACCTCCAGGTAGTGGAGCGGTAAGTCTATAAGTTAATAACATTCAATTAAGAAAAGATGCGCTTTCAGAGTTTCATAGCCTGGAGCTCATGGTGGAGGTGCAGCAAATAATGGTGAATGCTATAGGTCTACACAAGCTCTGTTGTTATTAAATAAAGGGGGAAATATCTGATTACTGTTAGAAATTAAAATCAATGTTTTGATGGCATAAAGTACCATAAACATACCGTCAGTTTAAATGCTGTTTTATACTGAAACACCAGAAGTTCTTGTGCACAACCAGTTGTTAAGCTTTTATTCTGAAAATCCTTCATCTCCGGTTAGCATTTAGCATGTGGCTAATATACCATTTACTATAGAGGTGATTTTGGTAGCGATATGACACGGAGTGTTGCACACCGAAACCTACTGATTTCAACACTACAACTATAGACGTCGAGATATTATTATTGCTGAATATTAAATGAAGGTACAGTTTATTTGAATACGTTTGTTTACAGACGTGGGTAGCATGAAACAACATCCGGAACTACCGGAAATGAAACCAGCCGTGAAGTATTTCCTGTATTTTTGGAGTATTGATTACAGCGTTTAAAATGTATTAAATGAAAAGTCATGAAAGAGATAAGGAGGAGAAAAGCCGTGTTTAGTTATATATTTAATGTACAATGTCTGAATCCTCTGTAATGCGCAACAACGAACATTGGAGACGTGGAGGGCCGGCCCCCAGCAGCGCCAACCGGCACACAGGGAGGAGCCAGCAGAGGAGATATAGCTAGCTCTCTTCCCTTCGCTCACGAGAGCCAGAACACAGCTGTTTTTCTGACTGAACAATCTTCTGCTTGTAACATAACCGCGCCTTTTTATTAATTAAAGTACCCATTTGAAACTTCTCAGAGACTCCATTTAGTCTTCTTTTTAAGAATAACGAACACAGTTATCATTACCCGTACAGCCTCACAATGCATGGCTGTAGACTCATGCTGGAGTCTGATAAGGTGCAGACTGCAGTCGACTACCTTCACTGTATGACTCAGGCCCCCTCACTAACTGGATCTCTGTTATAACACTGCACTCCCCAGTTAAATGTTGAGATAAAGAATCCCCTCTCATGCTTACTTGTGCTGACCAGGTCCATTCTGGAGCAGTCTGTGGCGTCTGTTGTGATGGGACACGAGTAGACGGCACCTGTTTCGTTGACATCTTTTAAATTATTAGATTTCTCTTTTGGAGCTCCTGTAAGAAGCCTGGAGACAGACACAGAGAAAAAAGCCAGGAAGAGCTATAAAGATTATTGGATAATAACACAGCTTTGCCATATTGTTAGACAACACAATACAATCTGGATGATTTCACAGATACTGTTTTTAGTCTCAACACAGGGAATAAGAACAGGTTCTAAGATGAAGTACATCTATTCTCAATCATTGTGCCACTGCAAGTACTAACAAAACACTTGAGTAAATTAAGAGGATTTGTCATTTTCAAAGCTAGTTTTTGATATATAAATGGACTCAATAATTTGCATAAATAAAAAGGGATAATTTTAATGACAAGTTATATTTGAATATCATTACTACACATCACAAAGAGACAAAAGTGTTTTGCCATTAGATAGCAAACGTTACTTTGGTGCAAGGTTACAAATGATAGTTTTTTTACAGACAAAATTATAAATGGCATGAGGAGATGCTTATAGAATTGCACTTGCTTTAATTTAGAGATATATTAATTCGTCCAATAATCCATCCATCCAATCATTTTTGGGTCACATTAACAAGAGCAGCACATTTGTTAACATCAACTAATTGGACATACAATCTGTGATATTAGCCAACAATGTTTTGGTTGAATGTTTTTTTTTTTTTAAGACAAAGGGATGTCTGATACAGCCCTGTGCCAGTAAAATACCCTAAGTGTGTAATGAGGACATATGACCCCGAAAACATTGAATTATAATGGCAGACAGTGTTGAGTGTGTGTACGCAGTATATTTATTTTTGTCATTGGAGCAGACACAAAACAGCCGAGTTAGTTTTTTTTTCCCTGGGGCTTTGATAATTTCTCATGTTTTTTCAGAATAAATTCAACAGACATTGTTAAACAATCAGAAGTGGGCTTTTAGTTACAGAAGGTTAGGCTCTTGTCCACACACACACACACACACACACACACACACACACACACACACACACACACACACACACACACACACACACACACACACACACACACACACACACACACACACACACACACACACACACACACACACACACACACACACACACACACAAAGCGAGAGCCAGTTCACGTGACTTGTAGATTAATAGTGGAAGGAGTGGAGCAGTCAGAGCATGACCTGTGACGAGTCTGGGCAACACACACACACACACACACACACACACACACACACACACACACACACACACACACACACAAAGTAGATTCTTGGTGATGGACCTGATGTTTTTGTCCACTCACCCGATCCTCCCTACATCAGCACCTTCTAACACACACAGATCTTTGAAGACGAGGGATTGACTCGTCTACATGGCTCTGCGCTGGGACACTCTGTTTACTGTCAGCGAGGGATTTATTAGCTCCACTTGGTGGGAGGAAGGTGCCGACAATCTTGTTTACTGTGTGTGTGTGTGTGTGTGTGTGTCCTTGTGACACATGGCCGGCTGTACAATGTGGGAAACAATAGAGTCAAAGTGTGTCTTCATTCAAACTTTCTGAATGTGGACCATATGAAGATTTCATGTCACCATTATCCCGGCCAAAATCATTGTGATTGACGATCATTTCTTAATAATCGAAAAAGCTATACTTAAAAATATTAAATTGGACTAGATAATACTGGAATCACTTTACCTTCATTTAAGTTAACAAACATTGTTTTTTATTTCATCAGAGATAGGACTCGTCTTTCTGTAGAGCTTTTTTTGTAAAAATCAAACAATCTTATATAATGTCATCATAAATCCTGAATACAAATAATAACAATATTGCATAAGTGGGTTTTTTCACATGTTATAATTCCTGTGTTATCAAAACAAGGCTCTATTATGTACTTCTCCTCCATGATTGCAAGCTAGAACGCTTTTTAAAGTAACTTGTAAGGATATTCACCATTATCCCAATCATGTAAAACCTTGCTTCTATCCGCAACAAAACCCTTTATTACCCTATCCTTGGTTTAAAGCTGACATGCTGCTGCCAGTGATGGTTTCAGTGGAAAGAGGTGAGTCAAGCTGTTAGTCATTTCAACTGAAGGGCAGCTAACCCCACTGATAAGCAAGAATAAATACATATATTGAGTGGACCTTTACTGTAAGGTCATTCAAAAATGTCTCTTATGAGTCAGCTCTTCATTGTTACAGCCTGATTATAAGTTTCCTAAAGGTAAAACATGCCTGAAGGATGAGGCATAGCTACCTGATGTCCGAGGGTTTACATGAAAAACAAGACATATACTTAGTGAAATATTGTTTGAGGTAAGCCATGGATGGTCACAGATGACTCACAGGATATTGGGTGGGTTTTCTTGCTATACAAACAGAGAAACTGTGCACCACAGCCACCCCCATACACAAAATGCCCCCATTCAAACTTGCAATCTGTTTTAACGTCACTTGTAAGGATATTCACCATTATCCCAATCATGAAAAACCTTGCTTCTATCTGCAACTAAACCCTTTATTACCCTATCCTTGGTTTAAATTCAAACTTGCAATCTAATCATGAGAACCTCTCAAGAGCTCAGACATAGTTATTTACTCTCTGATGAGTCACCTGAGCATGAAACCACTCAGAAAGTTTGGAAATCAGTCATGTGAGTTTGTTTCCGCTTAACTAATATCAAATTACCCCCTTATAGATCTGGTACTTCCACATTTTACTATCTTGGATCACAACCAGAAATCTAACAGTGGGGAAAATATAAAAATGACAGCGATGGGGATATTTCAGATCAAATGCAACATTTTTAATAAATAGACTTCTTTAAATAAGGAGGCACGCACACATTAATAAAATATAAATCAAATAAGTACACGTCAGAAGTAAAAAATAAGTAGCAGCATTATCAAAGTTAAGATATAAAAGAAGTGAAGTAGCAGCCAGTAATAATATTGCATTGTAGAAAAGTATATATTGCACAGTATTGTATTTCGGTGTGGTTACAGTCTAAATGATTGAAGTAGCAGCCAGCAATAGCAATATTAAATTGTAAATAGAATATATATTCCACATAAGCAGGCGATGCCAACCTTTATAATCTTAGTTAAAGAGTTATGCCGTTCTAATGAAATCTCATTACAAGAAAATTGGCCAGCACTAAAAGAAAGTGACATCAATACTCTACACTAAATATTTCTCACTGATGCATGAAATGAAACACAGACATCCTCCAGCCATTATTTATATCAGAAAGTTCAATTATCCCTTCTTTCTGCTACCAGATGGGCATTATCAGCGATGAATCAATTATCTTGCCACAGTGATGACAACCAGCTAGAACCAACATGGCCTCTGAGGCCGGCAGCTTCCAGTAGAGAGGGAGGAGGAGGAGGAGGTTCAGGTAATCATTCAGTAATGTGGACAGCATCTGAGATTCCACAGAGGTCTGTAGTAGTGAGAGACAATGAGTGATATGAGGAGAACCAGGGCCACAAAGCCCCCTGTGAGTGTGGAGGCCCCTTCTGTAATCTAGAGTATGTGTGTGCAGACATATGAGCAAGAAGTGTGTTTTCTGCATACATGACAAGCCTGTCTGAATCAGGAGTCATGGCCACATTAAATGTTTTTCAGCTGTTAACGGCACAGTGTCTCAAAACACACACAAGGTCAGCCGTTCTTGTGTGAAAACCAAAGCAATATATCCAAAACATTTAGAAAGTGCAAAGTGGAAAACCAAGAGGGTAGACAACACTGTTATAAAACACTTAGAGGCCAGTAAGTCTGAACTTTGCACACAGAAATTGAGGGCACAGAGTACAGCGCTAATCACAAATTCTTTAAGGAAGCGTGGGTAACCTTGGCTGGCAGAGCGCATTTCTCAGCAAACCGGGGGAAATACCTTCTAAGATTATAAACATGGCTGTTGTCTCACTGTCTCTTCAGAGCCGCGTGGGTCAGCTGTGTTTGTTGTGGAAATTCAACTCTGCTGATTGACACCGCAGGTTTGACATACATGAAGACACAGCTTTAACACTGGGAAGTGCTATTTCCAGGACGGCAACAGCTTCATTTAAAGGAATAGTGGGAAATACACCTATTGGACTTTTGAAGAAAACTACATTAGAACAGGGAATGAAAAATGGCAGCTGAATTGACTCTTACCGACCAATGGGAAGGAAGTGGACTCATACATAATCAAAGTGGACATATCTGTCTAGCATTTGTTTTTTTAGGAGCTGCTAAAGTGTCCCTCAGAGTTATCAATCTCATATCTGTGCTGTTAAAATAAAACTACAGCCAGACAATTCTTAGCTTAGCTTAGCACAATGACCGGCTAGTTTTGCTCTGTTTAAAGGTAACTTAGATACAGCTCCTTTTGTTGAATAAAAACAAACACTGTGAACAAGTTTAACATTTCATTTATATAATTAGTATGAGAAAAAAACGTGTTTCAAAGGTCAACGAAAAAGCTAGTTTTCAATGTGATGACCTTACATTTGTCACTTTATGCCAAGTTAATCTCCTTGCATAAAGAGACTCATACCGTTCAATGGGAGGAGGAAGTGGAATCAAACATAATCAAAGTGAGCCTATAACATATCTTTCTCTTGCTCTTGTATTTGTATGGGTTGCTAAAGTGTCACGCAGATTGACCATTCTCATATCTGTGGAGTAAATAACTACATTAAGTTAGCTTAGCTTACGCTTAGCATGATAACTGGAAACAGCTAGCTAGGGTCAGTTTAAGGTATCCACCCTCCAGCTCCTTTGTTGATTAAAATCAAAACAACTTGAACAAGTGTAACCTTTTCTATAGGTGGTATGAGGCAAATACATCTTTCCAAATGTCAACTGAAAAAGCTAGTTTTTAATTGGATGACTTCACATTCGTCACTAAATGCAAGGGGATTAGGAGGTTGTCTGAAATCACATGTATAAATCTCTAAAACTTGAGTAACAAAGCCTCGGCCATGACAACACACCTCACATCCTGCATGCTCTCCTCCCTCCTCCCTCCCTGCTCATCACCTCCTCATAAACAGGCTGTCAAAGGCCCAGAGAG